TCATAAAAAAAAAGCCGGGGGGGGGGGGACCCATCACACACACAAAAGGAATATAAGGTGAAGGAAATAAGCTAAGCCATATACCTACTAGAAGCCAAAATCGAAAGAATATATTTTTCCTTCACTGGTTTGAGTGAGTATCACCAACCCCCCCTTCAGTGCTAAAGGGCAATAGGATCTACATCATCCAACTTAGAAATTCGCAGAGATTGGTATGTCCTGATAGTACACAGACAGATGACGTGTTCTGACTGGTAAAAGCTTTCCCATTCTGACTTACTAAAATTGCATGTGTAGCGCTACGTGCGGACATTGTGATATGTTTTCACACTGTTAACATTGGGGATAATGACATGTGACAGCGCTATATATCTGAACATGAAATCAGAACACAAGAAAGCGTACAAGCAACAAAAATACATATTTTAGGTTTTTTTCCTATATGTATTTGGTACAATACACAGTTTCAGACACGGACTTGGCTGTGACTGATCACGTGGTTAGAGTCATAGGAATGTTTCACCACCCCAACATCTAATTTAAAAAACTCCTAAGCTAATTATGGATTTAGCAAGAGAGAATAGTTTTATAGTGATTGATAGGAAGGAAGTCATCTATACATTGAACTTAGTACTTTATTCAGCTTATAAAATTCTATGCGTGTACAATATTGCTGGACAGGTACATTTAAAAAAGGACTTTGGTACAAGCGCCATAATGCCCAACTAGTGATGAGCTGGGGCTTGGTGTGAATCCAGTTCACCCAAGATCGTCCAAGACTGCTCAAAACTAGGACTGCCACCCCTCCCTCCCCAATCAGTTGCAGAGAGGCGCATTCTCGGTCCTGCACCATACGTCGCAAAAGGGGGAATGCCCGCTTCACAACTGCCACCACAGAGGGCCAGGAAGAGGGGGTGGCGGTCACAGTTGCGAGTAGTCTTGGGTGGACTCAGGCTAACTGGGTTTACACGAAAGCAGGGGTCATCTCTACTACCAACCGTCCCTCATTGAAGGGCCCCTCTCTCCCCGATTCCCCATGAAATATTAATCTTTTTAGTCTGATGTATATAGACCTCTATAAAGAAAATGTACTTTTTAACCACCAAACGTCTACAGGCTCATGGCCACAGGTCTATGGAGTTTTACAATGTAGACTGAAGGATCTTGTTATCCAAACACTGTACACATGTAAAATGTGTTTAATGTGTACAAGCATACAGCATTGATAAAGCCCATTGGTTGTCAGGATGTAGGCATCTACTACTTCCTTGTGCCCTTGGTTGGTCAGGGGGCCCTTAGTTGCAAGGAAGCAGGTAGCTCCTGCTGCCTATCATTCTGTTGCTAGGACACAGGTGGCTCTCGTACACCAATAGTATACATTTGCGCTGTACGCATAAAAACGTTAGCACCAATGTACGCAAGATCAGGGGGCGCAAAAGAGAAAAATGAAAAGCCAGTATAAAAAGAAAAGCAGTGACTAAAAATGGGATTGTGGGTTCAACCAATAAATTAAATTCTTTGGGATCTGCCTAAATGGTGGCATGGCAGGGCTGTGCCCTTTGCCTACATAATTTGTGCCAAAAGGTGTCCCTCTTTCTCACATTAGAAAGTTGGGAGTGAAGAGACTGTCTATTAAGGCATAGCCCAACTCGCCTGAGTGCAACCCATCTAGACAAATACCTTGTACAAAACTAGTAAAAATTAATAAATCACCACAATGTATAAAAACATAAGTAAACTCAAAATTTGAGTTTGCTTCTTTTTAAATGCCAAAATGTCTGCACTATGCTTCTTTCTGCATGCACTTCAAATCCTGTTGGAGATATTATAAAGGAATATCGTCCAATAAACCTCATTGATTTATGATAATAACCTTGCATGGGATGTGGACTACTACAGATATAGTAGGTACCAATGAGAAAATCCCAGATGTCTGGAGGATACAACACAAGTGATATATGACAACTGTAGTGGGTGGTCATTGAGTTGCAGTAGGTTGTGGTAGATATGGTGACAGTGATTGTGACAGATCCAAGCTCGCTCCTGTGATCGACTACAATCTCATGTTTACTTTACTAATTTGCATTGAAATTATAATTGGAGGACAGTGTCAGCACCAATTCAGAGATTTGAGGATCTACAGCCGAGTGATACATTTTCGTTAATCATTAGGGTACTTTAAAGCATTTTTAAGATACAACTCGTGAGTTTAGTGTCACTTTAAGGGTTATTTTGACCACATACAGCTGATGCATCATTGATTTCCTATACTTAAGCACCCCATGAATTTACCTCCATAACAACATCAGGCTCGCCTTCTAACAGTTTCCATTCATAGCTGGCAATACCTTCTCTGTCCCAGCTTTCAATACCACTCAGCACCACATTCTGAGACGGTTGCGTTTTTACATCTTTGCTTACTCTGGCTATTGGTGGATCATCACCTGAAAAGGAAGAACAGATTTGTAATACAGTATAAGGACACTCAGATATGAATAATTGTTGAGATATCAGCGTGAAATTATGTTTAATGTAGGAGAGCAGACATGCCAAAATGGTGCTTTTGGAGCCCCATGTAGCCCCTTCATTCCTTCTATACAGCAGGGGTGTATCTACCACAAGGCAAACTAGGCATTTGCTTAGGGCGGCACTAAAGGGGGGCGGCAGAAAATGTGGCCCCAAACCAATGAGGCTGACCGGGCCGGACTTGCCTTTGGGCATAATGGGCACTTGCCCGGTGGGCCGAGGCTGGGCGGCACAGAATCAGGCAGCGACAGCCCTACATGCGGCTGCCTAATTAGAGAGCTGCCCGGTGGAGGGGAGGGCCCAGTGAGATGTGGTCCGGCTGGCTTTGTACAGGAGGTGGAGGAGAAGCAACAGGTGGCTGGCCATAGCATGTGATCTGATGGTGGGATGTCCCAGAAGCAGACTGGAGACTGCACTGTCTTCTGTTGGTACTGATGACACATTGAGCTGCAGGTAAGAGGAGCAGCACATGTGTGCAGGGAAAGGGACTATGCACAGCTCTCCTGAGACCCCGTACAGCCCACCTGAGACCCCGTGTGCGCTGTATCCAGTGACTGACAGGTTGAGCATAATGCCCTAAATAGAATTTAGATTTAGGGGGATGCCCAAGTTTAGTCTTGCCTAGGGCAGCACAAAACCAAAATACACCACTGCTATACAGTCCTTGGGAAATAAAAAATTGATTAGGGCCCAGAATGCTTCATAAACACTAAACCTTTCTAAAGACTGATAAATATTGCAAGTTAGTTATGAATACAATGTTGATCACAAAAGGAGCTGTCATTGTTTTAGCCAAAACATTGTTCATGCACTACTTGATTGTTTTTATTTAAAGAGCAAACTTTAAACAAGTAAATCTGTGTACTGCCAATGCTATTCAAGAACTTTACAATTGTGTAAAAATTAAGAAAGGTGACTGCTTATTGCATGGAATTAAAAAAGAGAGTCACCAAGGAGTCACTTTTCCTGTGTGGGCAGTATAGGCTGTGAGGGGTTCATAGAGTCCACAAGGACAGGGGAAAAGGGTTTGGGGGATGAAGTCACTAGTGTACAGTCTTAGCCCCCAGGAAAGACACTCCTATGTAAATTCTAACACAAGTTCATATAAAACACCACTAGGGTTGCCACCTGTCCAGTTTTCAACCGGACAGTCAGGTTTTGGAGTCTTGTGCCTGGGTGTCCAGCCAGCAGGCACCCAGACATAGACACTCAGGGGGTGATTTACTAACCTAAACACACACCAGGTGCGTGTGATTTTCACACAGCAAAACGTATCAACCAAAAAGTCTCTAAAAGCATATTTCCACTAATGCCATATATAATGCTGCTTCACAGTTTAGACAAAAATGGTTAGCTCATGCATTTACATTCCTGCATTCATCAACGCAAGCAACATAACATAGAGCTAATTTACACAACATAACCTTGGAATTCATGCAAGGCTTTGCACAACACACCTGCTGGGTGTGTACACACTACAAAAGGTGTTTAGATTCCACCCATAGATCATGCTGGGAGGGAACACACTACAGAAGTGTATACATGTTCGTGGTGTGTTTATAAGGTTAGTAAATCAACCCCTCAGTCTCACTCCACAGCACTGAGAGATGCAGCTGCCGAGGTCCCCGGCAAGCGCGATCTTGGGCAGCTGCATCAGCCTGAAACCAGATCTTCCTCTGAGCTGCGGGCAGTCTGTGCCTGTTTAAAGGGGGTCCGCAGCTCAAAGGAAGACCCGGGTTTCAGGCAAATGCGGCCGCCCGAGATCACACTTGCCGGAGATTTTGGCAGCCGCATCTGTGATTAATCCTCCTCCTTCTCTGGCTCACTGACACCATGCTGCCCGTCTGCGGACCCCTGGCGAGACACAAGAGCCCACACAGCCCATCTGGAGACAGGGTGCCAACCCAGAACGCAGTATGTAGCTTCATATTATTTTGTATTGCTGTATAATGTATTGCTGGGATTTGTAGTCCTCTATAGCAGTTATCCTTACTCCCTCTCCTGGCTGCCTCTCCTCACCCTCTCCTCTATATTCTCAACAACAACAAAAAGAGTGTTGGGGTTTCATTTGAAGAAAAAAATGGCAACCCTACCTGTACCTTCACCATACATAATTTATAGGTGCCTCGCTAATATATTTTCCTCAGCTTCCTCCGATTAGTTTAGCAGACTGGAATTTTAGAAATTATTTTATCTGGAATTATTCTCACGGAATCCAAATTATTACAACATCAGCATGTGATGAGATCAACTCAAGCGCTAACATGATCACAGCCATCTCAGGAGGACAAGAATGTAAACCAACTGGTTCAACATTTTTTTTTTTTAAACCTCCTTTACGCGATTCGGTTTCAATAAAACTTCAAAACAGGAAGAATGAAAAAATTATATTGATGATCTCACAGATTATTGCCAATAAGCGTATACAAGATTCTGATATACTGCTGAAAGATACTGCTGAAAGATCTTTGCAAACACGCAACACGTGCAGTCAAACAGCAATTGTATGTCAGGGCTTGTTCACACTACATACGCGAAACTTCAAAGGCAAACTCACACCCATGTGTGGCAAGGTCTTTACACATTAAGAGTGCATGCACTCTATAGAGCCCCCTCACACAGTAAACAATGCACCTGACACCAACACCCTGCAAAGCAGACATGTGAAAAACAGATGCACTGGGTTATAGTGCATAGATTTAAAAAATAAAAACACCAATTAAGGACCCGCAGGAAAATGGACAAATGCAATGTATGCGGATGTATCAAAAAACATGCCACATACAGCAAAGTGCAGATAGGCCCGAAAAACTATTTTGGTTAGCAAGTCCCCTTCTCAAAGTGAAGTGAACCTGTAGTGTTTTCAGAAACGTTCCTGCCATTTTGGATACATTGACTTTCCCCATTTCTTATTGAAGTCAACCGAGTTGAAACTTTCAAAATCAAACTGCATCTGAAAAACACATGTGATGTGATGTTATACGACTTTTTAAGTACAACTCATAGCAAATGGTCCTGAAGTTATATGCCTGGGGCTGGTACCTGATTTGCTGACTAACCGTTAAAGAGGATCTGTCACAATTAAGGCTTATTTAGGACTAAAATGACCACAACACCAGCAGGCTTACTTATCAAAGAGTAACACTGTGGTGTATGGGTCCTGGATTTTTGAGCAAGTGTAAAATGACAGACCCGGTCATCACACACACACACAAAAAAAAAAAAACACACAATTATGTAGAACGCAGGAAGCCGTGAACACACTTCAGCACCATGGAGCCATGCCAAAGCCTTGCCTGTCAGAAGCGTCGGGATGTGTTTGTAATAGTGGGGATGTACAGGCTGCAAGAGAGTTGTCTGCACTTAACTTCCGGAGGATTTAAAGGCAGAATATCTTCAAAAAGCTTTTGTTTGTATCTAGCCAATTTATGATGGTTCCAATGCCAAAATTAATAAAGTTAAGCAAACGGAGAGGATATAGAATAGTATATATGCTTGGTAGAAGGAGTTTATTAAAAATTTCAAATGGAACCTTATTTAACTTTATTTTGTCTAATTCTGATTCTTTATGTGGGGCAATCTGGTTTTGATACAAATTAAGGAAAAATGTATACAGTAGTGGCAAAGTTATGCCATCAACATGCCACACAATGCGCTGACCTTAGTTGCCCCGAGTTTCCCTGCATTACCTGTGTAGGGTAATGGATACAGGGGATTTCAATAGTGAACCACTAGTCCACCTGTGACCATTGTTATCACTGGCACATGTATAGGAAATTACAAATGCTCAAATTTACCATGAAACCAATAAAATGCAACATTAACGTGCATTCATGGCAAAATCGGAAGGAAAATCGCAAGTCAACGGAGGGTCCGTTGACTTGGAATTATACTTTCCGCATTCCTTCTGATCCATTTTTCAATGAATGCTATAAGGAAGGGCACTGAAAAATGAATGGGTGTGAATGTGGCTAGCTCACACCCGATAGGTTGCGCAAAACAAAAAGAGTAGTGCACTTTTCACTTTTGTTCCCCCCCACAATGTAATGGAGCAGTGCAGTTATTCCCATTCATTCATTTTTCAGTGGACCCTCCCCTGACTTGCAATTTCCTTTAGATTCTGGTGTGAATGCACCCTTAATGTTGCATTTTTGCCAGTTGAAAAACAGATCGCAATGCAATGGAACCAGCGTGAATGGACCCTTCGCTTTAGTTTTTAAAAAAGTGAACAAGGGTTTCCTATTTTTATGGTTCCCAATCTACTACCAGTTTAGTTGGAATCCTCTCAAATCCTCAAACTGCTAAACATTCCTTCAACCATATTTTGTTTCTGTACCTGTTCCTCATAATAGAGACTACTTGCATAACACAAGTGTTATGTGGCTTGTATTATATTTTTCTGTTATTTAGTTGTTACTGCTTATTAAAATTACACAAGTTATATTAGAATTGAACCTTTTATTTATAGTGTTTCATCACTGGTGTTTCAATACCATCATATGAACTACCGTTGGCATTATTAGCGGTTAGTAGCAGATGGCCTCATACACTGCATTTGATTAGAAAAGGTCTCCAGATGAATAATTAAATGAGTCACAACTGTAAAAGATAAAGCTTATGAAGAACTGGGTTTTATCTGTATGTGTAGAATAGAAAAGGTCAGCTTTGATAGCTTCTGCAAACAAATGAAGTCATACCTTGCAATGACTATTACAATGTATTAGTCATCATCCCCACGTAGTACTATGTCAAGGACTACATCCACCGGTTACTAAAATAAGTCTTAAAGGAGAACTATGAGGTGAGTGCTTTTCACTCACCTCATAGTTCTAGCCGACCTGTGACAATGAAACTGTCACAAGTCGGCTCAGTAGATCGGGGAGCGAACACATACCGGCGTTCGCTAAATTCGCGATCC